CAGCTCCCTCTGCAAAAATGAAGTTTATTTCCTATTTTTGGACCAACTGCATGGTTGTGATAGATATAGACAAGTTTTCCTGGGCTGAAGGTCATTCTGTACCTTTTGGACCATTCTAGGCCCAGACCCTCCTTGATTTCAGTGCAAACTGAGTACCTGTGTTTTTCTGTGACTTCCTCTTAGTTTCTGTACTAAATGACAGCCTCTCCAAGTATCTGTTTGTGTCAGGTGAAGGCTGGTGTCTGAGTGCTGCATTGACATTTGCAGCTTTTCCCAAAAGCTAGAGTTTCCAGAATGATTGAAAAAAAGCCAGAATGAGTCACAAGACAAAACGTGGTTTACTGTTGTTGCTTTCTGCAACTGTTGCTTAGAGCTATTTAACTTTTTGTTTTTTCAGCCGTTTCATCCTATGGTGAATCTGGAATGCTCAAGGGATTTTCGGCCATTTTTATGTGCCCTGTATGCTCCCGTCTGCATGGAATATGGACGTGTCACACTCCCGTGCCGGAGGCTCTGCCAACGGGCATACAGTGAATGCTCCAAACTCATGGAGATGTTTGGAGTCTCTTGGCCAGAGGATATGGAATGCAACAGGTGAGCAAATCTGTTTTTTCCAAAACCCCATGTAAACCTTTTTTCCAGGATGTTTTAAAATATCTCTTTAGTACATCAGAGTTTTCCACTACAAATATGGCTATTTTGTCTGTTCTTTGTTTAGTGTAACAGGCTGTTTCCTGGAGAGGAAATTGAATTCATATTTCTGCCATTTCCCTCCCCCTCCCCCTCAAAACTCTGACAACACCTATAAGTAATTAAAGTAGACAAGGTATGCATAGTTTTAAGGAGATGGGTATACTAATTCCATTTGATTTTTCCTTTATTTTTGCGCAGTGCATCAGTCTGGGTAAAGCTGAATTATGTGGTCATGGGTTAATATCACTTTACAGCTTTAATCCAGTCTTGCAAAACTATACTTACCTGAGGTCTATAGGTTTTGGTGTCTTATTTCTGATGGGAGAGTAAAATGTCAAGCATTTTTTTTTTTAATTTAAACAAGCACCCCCACCCCACCCCCCGAGACTGTTTGCAAATAAAACTTCAATTTTTATGTGAAGGGGATTGCTTTAGGGCAAATTTGTTAGCAGGTGATATTTCTGTGCTGCATGCAACACAGGATATACATAAATGGGCACAGTTGAAACTTGCTTCCTTTTGTGTGTGTTTAATTGATGACTTTTGACTAATGAAGATAAAGGGGCCACAAATGCAACCCTGGTGTGCTGCCAAAAAGTCTTCTCTGTCTCTGGCTTTCTGCATAGCTGTCTGGTCCCTCCTTCAGTGTAAGCCAGATCCTTCAAGGTCAGCCTTCCTTTCCCCCCAGACTCCCTAATGACACACAAGCTATTTTCTGGGTCCAAACAGTCCCATCCACACCAGCTGCTTGTCACTTGTGGCATCAAAGAACAGAACTCTTGAAGCTTTTAACCAATCCAATTACAAGACTTATTAGAGACGCTTATAACAGCATGTGCCATTTATTTATTTCTGATCTGTTCTTCACTTTAGAGTGGCTTCGGTCTACACACGAAGTCTGTCTAAGCATTCTTTGCTAGTTCTAAGTACATGTAAAAAGATGTCCAATTTAAATGTTGCTTAAATTAACTTTCCTTTTCCTGCAACACATAAAAAAAAATGCGCAAGTACTGTAGACCAGGGTTGTCAAAGTTCCACTGTGGAGCACTCTCATTCAACCTCCCTTGCTGCCTGTGGGTCTCAGATTAAACCCACACGCAGCTGTAGCATGTGCTGGACTGGGCCCACATGCTGTACAGGATGCGTGGGGCTGGTCCTAGGTGCACACTGTCGGCTGCACTTGGGGCCTGTCTGTAGGCACGATACAGCCCGAGCACCAGCCCAGTGCTGCCCACAAGGCCAGATGAGTTTAACACTCCTGCTGTAGACAATATGGTCAGTTATGGATCATGACATTTTAAATTTTAGGGGACTTCTTGCTTTTTACATTTGGAGTCAACCCCAAAATACACGAATGGCTAAGAACCAAAATTGCATCTTAAAAATGCACACTAAAATTTAAACCTTCTTGTTGGCTGGTTAGAATAAGACTCCACTTACAGTATCCTAGTCTCTGGCATTGGGGAGTTGCTGTTTTCTTCACCTTTATTTTTGTCTCCATCTCACCCTCCCTTTTCTTCACATTTTATTCCATCACATAACTTTCCTGTGAGCCCATTCTTGCTTCTAACGTATACAATTAGCACTTCCCTTCCCCTATGTTATTCTAACCCCCACTGCTGCTGTCTCCTCTCCTTCCTATGCAAGCTGTATGTCTCTCCTTTCCTTAGAGTTTCTCTTCTGCATGCAGTCCCTCATCTCAGTGTCCTGTTTTCCTGCTGCTACTTCAGGATCGGTCTCCCCTGAGTGCAGCTTGGCCTCAGTACCTTTTGTAAGCAAGAGCGAGAGATAGATGGCCATCTTAGTCTGAAGTGAGGCACCAGGCAGGACAGGCTAGTACCTTGGCATTTTTACACATACTTTGGGACGCAGTGCCAGGCACTTTAATTAGCAAGCCATGCAAATTAAAAGCACCCATGCATCGCATGTATCAGCGTCCACACGCTGAAAAACGGTGGCAGGGCATTTTGAACTATAGTTCAATGTGTTTTAGTTGAGAGGACCCTGCCGCCATTTTTTCAGCACGGAGACTCTGATGCACGCAACGCGGAAGGCTGCCAGAGTGCGTCAATTTCCATGCTTGCACAGACTCGATTAATCGAGTCCACTCTGCGCTGGATTTCCAGCACATCAGAGCAGACTCCCCACATGTCTGTAGGAACTCTGGGTGACTTAACTGATTCGTCTGTACTCGTGGACGGCACCATGCTCAGCTGAATGAAATGGACTGCTACAACCAGTCAGGCTCTAGGTGCTACCGTGTCCTGTCTTGTGTAAACACTGGGAGCTTGTGATTAGTTTGCTGAAGACCAACCTCCCTTCCATATGAAGAAAGCAGGGCAGGATGTCACCTTAGAGACAAACTGGTCAGCATCTGTAAAGTGCTGCCCTGCCCCACCTTCTGCCTCGCTTCAGACTAACACAGCTAACAACCTTTCTCCTTTTCCATTTGAAGAAAATGGTGAAGCCATGTTGCTTTGCATCTACCTCATCAAAAGCAATTGGCAAATGGCGACCATTCAGTTTCATGAGAAGGCAAGAATAGGAGACCATATGTCAGCTTGAACTACCGCAGAATTTGCCATGTAATGAAATGTAGAGAGAAGAATCCACTCTTTCCCTTTTTTCTTTTTTTTTTTAAAGAAAAGGTGTGTAGGTGTCAAGAGCACTGAGCTTTGTTTGATGAAAGTTTAAAACTTTGCCAAAACTTTGATACTGGTATCAGTATAATTCTGTGCCTAGTAACTTTTTAAATAAAAACAGGAAAAATTATTTCTTGTTAAAGCAAATGATAGCAAGCCAATAAAAAAAAAATCTAGTGCATCATACATGGCAGGAGCTGTCAACACAAATCTGCTCCTAAAAAACTTTAAAAAACCCACTTGAATACTTAAAGTTTGGTGATTGAGTAGTCCTAGAAAGTTGTAAGAGTATTTGAATACTTAAGTGTTTTATAAGACCTACTCTGAATTGGGACAAATGGGTAAAATATGCATATTTTAAATTAATTAATTAATTGTGAATAAATAATATGCATTTCTAACTTAAGATATATTATTTTTTAGATTCCCAGATTGTGATGAGCCTTATCCTCGTCTTGTTGACCTCAATTTAGCTGGGGAGCCCACAGAAGAGACCCCAGTGGCAGTGCAGCGGGACTATGGCTTTTGGTGCCCCCGGGAATTAAAAATAGACCCTGATCTGGGTTACTCTTTCCTGAGAGTACGAGACTGTTCTCCTCCTTGCCCAAACATGTACTTCAGGCGTGAAGAACTCTCCTTTGCCCGTTACTTCATCGGAGTTATTTCAATCGTCTGCCTTTCTGCCACCTTGTTTACTTTTTTAACTTTCCTGATTGATGTCACACGATTCCGCTATCCAGAAAGACCCATTATATTTTACGCCGTCTGTTACATGATGGTGTCGTTAATTTTCTTCATTGGCTTTTTGCTTGAAGACCGAGTAGCTTGTAATGCATCTAGTCCTGCCCAGTACAAGGCTTCTACAGTGACACAGGGCTCTCACAACAAAGCTTGCACCATGCTTTTCATGGTGCTTTATTTCTTTACCATGGCTGGCAGTGTTTGGTGGGTCATTCTTACCATCACATGGTTCTTGGCAGCTGTGCCAAAGTGGGGCAGTGAAGCAATTGAAAAGAAAGCATTGCTCTTCCACGCCAGTGCATGGGGCATTCCTGGAACTCTGACCATCATCCTTTTAGCAATGAATAAAATTGAAGGTGACAACATTAGTGGCGTGTGTTTTGTTGGCCTCTATGACGTGGATGCACTAAGATATTTTGTTCTTGCTCCCCTCTGCCTGTATGTGGTGGTTGGAGTTTCTCTGCTACTAGCTGGCATTATCTCCCTCAATCGGGTTCGAATTGAAATCCCATTAGAAAAAGAAAACCAGGACAAGTTGGTGAAGTTCATGATCCGGATTGGCGTGTTCAGCGTTTTATACCTTGTACCACTCTTGGTAGTAATTGGCTGCTATTTCTATGAGCAGGCTTACCGAGGTGTGTGGGAGACGACATGGATACAGGAACGCTGCAGAGAATATCATATCCCGTGCCCTTATCAGGTGAGGAAACAAAAGTGGCATATCCAGAAATTCAGAGAAACAGGAAGGGATAAGCTGTCTTAAGGACTAATTTGCTATCCCTCACAAAAGCAGCTGCTGCTCCGAAAAGGGATGGATCCTGGAATTATTCTTATTGTTGAAATGCACTTTTTGAGGATTAGCTGTTACAAGGCAGTTCCACAAATGCATTTAATGTTCTGTGAACCTCTGTGACAGCCTTAGAGAACTGACTTCTTGTTTATAGATAGTGGGGTTTTTCATGTTTTTGTCAGTCTGATGTTTTTATGACACCTGGGGACTTGGCGGGGGGGAAAGTATTTTCATTCTAATTCTAAGGACAGAGTTTATGGGCTTGACGGGGAATCGGATATTTAAGATCTGCCCTAAAGGAAGAATGGTGTGAAAATGAAAATCATTATTAGTCTGTTTAACAATTTTCCATTGTGTTTTTTGTTAACTGTTCAATCATGTTTTAGCTTACAGATTTTCATGGTCTCAGACAGGTTGTATGCATCAAAACAACTTTTTTTTTATATATTGTCTAAAGCAACCTGTGTAAAAAGCCTGAGCTTTCAGCTTATTGGTTTTATTATTTAAAAGAAAAAGTTACACTTAACTGATCAAAATGTTTGATACAGTTACCATGGAAGTAGAAGCTACTGAAAATATTAGGTGCCAGACTGTCCAGCACTTAAACAGTATTATCTTGTTGCAACTATGGATTAAGAAGAAAAAACTCTAGGAGAGAAGTTAATTAAATGAAGCCTAGGGGTTTTATGCCAAAAAGTTGTTTCTAAAGGATCGAAATAGGCATTTCTAGAATGACATCTGTTTTTGTATCTTATTGGAAAGTACTTTTATTTGAAGGAGGTTATATAACAAAATTCATCTACAAGAGCTAGAATACCGTGTGCATCATCAAAGCTTACATTTTAATACCATGAAAAAACCATCTCCTGGTTTGGAGTAGTTTATATGACTCGGTACTCCTTATATTACCTTTTAGCCCTTTTTATTGTTTTTCCTCTTGCATTATATGAGGGTGATGCTCCTCACTTCCACCTAATGTTTGAGCACTTTTATGGCAGGAAATATCAGTGAATGGGTGTATTCCATTTCATTTGCTTGATTGACTCCTCATTGTTCTGCTTTTTGTGTGTCTACTGTTTTGTAACGTGGAATTGGTTAATCTTTCTTTTAAAAATATACATATAGTTATATAAAAAAAATTCCAGTCCAACACATATGTAACCTATGGTCAGAGGGCATGGTGTTTCTTCAGAATTCAGTGTATAGAGTAATTTAAAGATTGAAATATGCAGGGTCCTAACTAGCAAAATCCTGGTGAGTGGAACAATGTCAGTATATTGTAAAATGCTACTCAAATCTCCAGTATACCGTTAACATTATAATGGCTCAGCAGGAATCGTTATATTGTTAACGGAGGAACAATAATGGTTCCATTCACAGCAAATTGGGTCGAAGGAGCCATAGCCTCTAAATAGTATTAGAAGGTTTTTTCCCTCAATCTTTTCATTTTTTTTTTTTTTTTTTTT